TGATTAAGCATTTTTAACACAGTGAGGTATAAACATGAAATATTTAGATTTTCCTCTGATCACTACTCTTTGAGCTATGCTATCTTAAATATTCCTTAACCACTGGGTAGCAGATTTCTAAATGCTGTGTTAGATGTTGCTACTTGGCCAGGCTATTCTGGTTTTTAAGTGTCTGATCAACTTAAAACTTGAAAAATATATCCCATTTAAGGCATTCATCCCCCATTGTCTGCTAAGATTTATTGCTGGAGAATTAGTACAAGTAATGGTGTTACTTCCCTTCCTCTTTCCACTGTTTCATATAGTCAACATTGTAGTCCTAAAAGACCTTGTGTCTATAATTCTAGTTTGAAAGACTGGGGACCCCTGGACTGGTAGTTTGGCAAAGCAGTGTCTCAAAGCTTACTTCTGTGTGAAGTTCATAAGAGTGGTTTGTTTCTGGATCCTTTTAGAATGTAGGTAACTGAATCCTTCTTAGTCCTCAGTTGGGAACTGATTAAAGAATAGTAGGGAAAACCTTTGTACTGTACAGATGCAGAAGTATTTGTTAGCGTTTTATTTTTTCTTCGATGAAGAATGAAGCATATAGTTTATATAAGATACATATTTATGTAAGAAATTCACTGACAATACCTTTCTCATTGCTGTCGTAACCCAAACCAAATTCAAGGGGAAATGTCTTTATTCCTTTGATACAATTAGTTTCATACCAGGGAAAGTAAACTTACTGAATACTGAACATGGAAATATTGGGGTCCTAATCAGAATATCTATCTACACTTTGATAGCTATCTTTCTCACTCTTAAACATACAGTTCAATTACCAACAGCAGTTAGTAAACTATCCAATTCCAGAAGATCCCAGAATGCATTCATCTTTTTTTTTTTTAATATTTATTTTTGGGAGAGATTGTGTGAGCAGGGAAGGGGCAGAGAGAGAGGGAGACAGAGGATCTGAAGTAGGCTCCGCGCTAACAGCAGAAAGCCCTGTGCGGGGCTCTAACTTAGGAACTGTAAGATCATGAGCTGAGCCCAAGTTGGCTGCTTAACCAACTGAGTCATGCAGGCACCCCAGAATGCATTCATCCTGATGGGATGAATTGGATGAATGTTGATGGGATCTACGATTCTGCCTGAGCCATTCATTTTCCTATACCTGCTGTGACTTAACGACCAGATCTTCTGACATGAGGATTAAATTCTCAGATATAACTCCCATCACTCCATCTTCCTTCATACCAAACCTTACCCATCCCACTACTTTAAAAAAAAATTCTGTATGTAAATATAATAGAAAGGAAAGTTTTAAATTATTTAATCTATCTTCCTTATATCTTGAATTTTAGATATTTCCTTCAAAAATTATGCCCCAAAACAATATTCTCTTTTGAACTTTTGAAATTAGAGAAAAATTATCCTATTACTAACTTGATTCATTCATGTTGTTTCTATCCTTTCATTATCTGTCTATATTGATATTCTGTATTACGAATCTTTATATCACTGGATTAGTATATATATCAGTTAATATTTTGGCTAAGAAATCAGTCCTCTTGAGGATGTATTCTGAGTTGTTTCCATGAGGATAGATTTTATAGCCCTTTAGTGGGATTTAAAATTGTTATAGAATATATAAATATATGCATAAGTATTATCAATCTGTGCAGAGGCCCCTAAAAATTTGATTCTGACATTGATTCTAATGATCACATTTTTTTAAATGTTTTATTTATTTTGAGAGAGAGACAGCAAGAGTAGGGGAGGGCCAGAGACAGGGGGAGACACAGAATCTGAAACAGGCTCCAGGCTCTGAGCTAGCTGTCAGCACAGAGCCCGATGTGGGGCTCGAACCCACGAACCGGGAGGTCACGACCTGAGCTGAAGTCGGACGCTCAACCAACTGAGCACCCAAGTGCCCCATCTCATAATCACATCTTAAGATAATTTTAAGAAATTAATATTTAAAGCTTTCAATTTTAAATGTTATTGAATAAAATAATAAACTAAAATGTTTGACAAAAGAAAAATATATTTGCTAAAGAAAGGAGGGTCTCTTTTTCTTTGTTTCTTAAAAATTGTATGTATAAGACATTTTACAGAAAGTCACCACTTATAAATTATAAGAAAACCTGAAAGTTCCTGTTAACATCTGCCAAGAGCATGTTAGGCCTTTGTGTCCCTATTTTTATAAGATCTTAAAATAACTGCAGTGAAAGTCATACAACATGGAATGAAACTTTATTTCAATAGACTTTCATTGGTAAATCAGAATGAAAATTATTCAACTTTAGAGACTAGTTAAGTAGATATTTTTAAATAAAAAATGAATCAATAGCATATAATTTTTTTGCGTTAACTGGTGGCAACATTACAATCAATTTAACTTAAATTTAGTGGAGAGACATTATAAAACTAGATCTTCTAAGCCCACAGATTATCTGACAAAATGATGGAAGGCACTGATAAATTATAGGTAATCTTCAGTGTTCTTTAAATTTTGAATTATTGTATATTATTATATTCTGAAAATAAAATTAATGAATGGTTCTTTGTCCATTAGCATGAATTTTGTATTAAATATGAACTGGTAATTCTTAGAGCTGAAATGTACAAATTAAATGCTTTATCAATTATTGCACAGGGTAGGCCACAGTTAAAAAAGTACTGTGAAATATAGTGGCTTAAATTCGTTATATAAAAATGGTCTAAATCTAATACGGCAGCTCCACATCAGTAAACAGCTTCCATTTCTAAGTCTGAGACTCTAATGTCATTTTCTCCTAGCAAAGAGGGGAGGAAAAAATGGTCAAGGGAAGCCCGACTCCAATCCTTTAATTGGCAGGACCCAGAAATGTCACAATTCACTTCTGTTCACATCCCAGTGGATACTACTTAAATGCATGGCTGTGGCTAACTGTAAGCGAAGCTGGAATTACAATCTTGGTTATTGAGTGGAACAACTGGTGCCTTCCCACAATTGCCAACAAAAGCTGCTGAATTGTACCCTGTTTTGATATTTCACATTAATGGCAAAACATCTCACTCAAGCGATTACAGCGCAGTTTTGTATTTTATTTTTTGAAACATTTAGATAGCTCAGTACAATTTCCTACAGTGTGTTTGCATATATTCTTATATGCCAGCCTCTGAAACGTTCTTTACTTGACATTCCACTATACAAATAAAGGTAAACATAGTAATTCCAATCATAAACTTGGAATCACAGGTGGAATATACAGATGCAATGGGAATGTATATAATAGAATAAATCTCATATTATTATGTTCTATAAATTTTCAATATTAATATAAGCACAAGATTTTCTTCCTAGGAACAGTTTACTATTACAAATGATCAATTCTAAGAAATTCTTTGCTCTTTACCTTTCACATATCCATGGCATTATTTAAATATCACTTGGAATTCCATTTTCTGGCTTAAAACCCTCTTTGAATGTCTTAGTCCAGCAATGTCCAATAGAAATTTCTGTGAACACAGAAATCTTCTAGAACTGCACTGTTCAATATGGCAGCTACTGAAGCTTTTGAGTGCTTATAATGCGACTAGTGTAATGAAGGAATTGAATTTTAAACTTTATTTCATTTTAAAGAATTTAAATGTAAATAACCCATGTAGCCAGTAGTCACCATATTAGACAGCACAGTTAGCCATTCCCTGCTCCATTTACAAACTTATTTGCACCACATCTATTTTACTGCATAATATTGCTCCTGAAATGTCCTCAAGTGAATTTGACTACTCAACATCTATTATTTGGTGTTTTATTCTTTGGGTGAGAGACTATATTTTCAGTGTGACTTTACTCGAGTTTTAAATAGTCCAATGATAACAATAATTTTACTGTACATAATACATGTCAGGCACCATTCTGAGAACTTTATACATAATAAATAATTCCACAATCACAGGAAACCTACATATGATTATCACCATTTTATAGATGTATAAACTGACACAAACACAAGTTAATTAATTTTTGCCTGAGATCAATTAACTAGTTAAGTGGCTGATCTAGGATGTTAATTCCAGACAAACTGGATTTAAATCCCAGGCTCTTACTCCATTCTTTATTCTGTCATCATTTTGGAGAAGCGAGATTTCCCATCAGTAGTTCTCTTTATTCAAAAATGCATCACAGTTGGAGCCGAAAGCTTTATTTGTGTATGCATAATACTGGAAATGATTGCCCCTAGCAAGAAAAAAGAGAAAAGAGCAGAGTTTCTCTTCTCTTCTGTTCTGTCACAATTCACTGAACAAACTGTTTACAAAAGGATGATCTGAAATGTTCCCTAACTTAATCTTTACTAATTTGGCACTGGGATCTTATTTCATCAGAATGATACAAAATAAATTAGTTAATGTAAGTGATCATGAACGGTGCTGTATGCTTGCTTCTATTATTAGAAAAAATTATTCAGGCTTTTTTCTTAGTACACTAAGAGAAAGTGGTCAGGATCGATTATTTTCAAAGGGCTATAGTGTTCAATTTTAACTCAGGTCAGTCAATCATCTGCAAGTTAAAATTACTTAGAAACGTACTGTCCATAATTAAGTAATCTTACCTACTAATATTACAGAATAAGGATATCTTTAGGTGACAAGAAGTGTGTCATTTTAAGTATGCCCCCAAGCCTTTTCCAGATTGCTCATAAGATTTCTCATTCTCTAGAGAAATGCAATCTCTAAGAAATAAATGTCTCTCTCAAGTCACAAGTAATATGAGCACATGATGAAAAAATGGAATTTTTTAGTCTCATAAGGGCTATTGCAGTATTGTAAAATTGATTTTATTCCTTGTTATGTAAGTTCTCATGGTCATTTTAGGATTTACCTTCTGGATATAAAGGGAAGGCTATGATGCCTTATAGGGAGGTGGGGTACAGAGGTCTTTGGGGACCAGGAGAATATTTTTCATATGAAATCTTTGTCATAAAATGCTAATGTTGGTGTTCTTGTCTTTATGTCTATGCATTCTTTAGCTATGAGGATAACAGACCCTTCATCAAGTAAGAATGACCTGAATGGCTGATAAATTCCATTTATCAGTGTGGTCCCATGAACCAGCTGTCAGATCAGTCCTGAAAAATCATTAGAGCTTCTGTCATTCACATTGAGGCAGAAGAGCAAACTGTGCAGGAAAATAATCAGGCATACCACTTGTATGCAGAATAAATATGCTGCAGGTGTATTGCCAAAAACAAATTCTGCTTCACCTCTTTTAATTGGATATCACCTGAAATCAGTGCCACAGTAATAGCAACTTCATGTGGTACAGACTCGTTTCGCTTTTCGTAGCTTTCTCCTTTCATTGTGATGTGTTCCTCTGTGCTGCACATGTCGTCATTTCTGTTGTTTGTTTGGACATCGCTCATCTTAAATTATTTTGTGATTTAGCGGGGTATCTTCAAAATGACCTTCCGAGTATAAAACCACCCAATTGCATTGGATATTAACGAATTTCTCTTTTAAACATCCAAAAAGGGAAAAAAATGCTTCCTTCAAAAATTCAATGTTATGTATGCAAAATTACCTCTTTCAGTTTTGACATATGCCACTGGATTAATGATCTAATTGTTTATGAATATATCCTTTAAATTTCTGAAACAAAGCTACAAGTCTGTACAAATTGATAAGAGTAAACATAAATGTTGATATTTGGGCCCTTTTCTTCTGTACATTTTAAAATTACGTGTCCTGTCACAATAAACTTAAGATTGGCAACCTAGGAGTGACCTTACTGTAGACTTTCAGTTTGTTCTTCTGGTGAAGAGTTTTGTTTTCATTTTCTCCAATGACATTTCACTTAGTTCTTCATGCTCTTATTTTTTTTTCTTTAAAAATTGGGCTCATTGCAGTTTTATATCATTAGCTCTTGGGCCTGTCATGTGTTTCTAGTATATACTAGCTAACTTGAGTATTTTATCCTATCCTTGTATTTCTAAATTTAAATAGCAATTCTGCTTTGATTTAATGGTATTCTTTCCATTTTTCCTTTTTCCAATGTCTGTAAGAAGCTGAGAGCTTTACCTTGAAAGTTCCATATTTTTAATCTAACTATAGAATAAAACATTAATATCTAAGATGTTTTCTAATTCATATAAGCAAACATGCCACATACAATGGAAAGCCTCTGGTTAGGGATTCTTTATTCAATAACATTAATGTTTTAAATTGAACATGTTAAATTTAGTGGATATTTAAATATTGAATATAGTAACTGATGGTTGTTGAAGAAAAATAGTAAATATTCACCATTAATTTTAACAAGACTTTAATAATAGCTGACTACTTTGGGACCATATCTTTCTTAAGATGTAGTTGTCTCTGAAAACTTTACTCAACCCAGCTTCAGATTATGGTAAATACACGTGTTTTCTTCTTTAACACCTTCATGTTGCAAAGTTTCAATTCCCATAAATATTTCTTCCTTAGACAATGCGAGTGGAGGAGTGTAGTCTGCTGAAAAGAAGTATTAGTTTACTCTGTTCAAATGAGGTGTGCTGGGAAAGGAAAGGGTGGTTTGATGAGTATATAGAGAGATCTAGACTGGTTTGGTCCTTTTTTCCCATACACTTAGGAGTTGAGAAGGAAAATATTTTCACTTACTGGAATCCCGTCTATTGGAAAGATTCATTTTACATTGATAGTAAGTGCATAACACATAACCACGAATATATGGACTTTTGTCACCCGTTGATTACTATCGCGAATGGCAGCTGGAGGAAACTAAGGGAATGGAGAGTGAGAATTGTCTTCCATTCTAGCCTACTTTGTTCATACCGCTCCATCCCATTCTCAGCTTCATCTTCTCCTTCGAATATACAGATCCTTCAAAGAGATGAAGGTGCTCTGAGCTTTTAAGATTCTTTTCAACACAGCTGCCAATTACCTGATTTTCCAGAGTCTAGTCCAGCTTAACCTAGAAGACATCAATCCAAAGGCAAAGTAGATTTCAATCCAGAGTGGAACAACTTTTTCCACCCACTGTATCACATTTGTTTTACATAACTATAGAATCAGACAAATAGAGCTCCTAAAATTCATACATATATTCCATATACTGGCTCCTTCTAATATGAGCTCTGTTTTTGTCAGTAAACACTAAAATTCTTATGGAAAAAGAGGAAATTTGGAAAAATGGGGTAAAAGTGTATCCGATGAAGCACGAATGGAGAGAGTCCAATCAAACAAATGTTATCATAACAATGAGGCCAGTGGAAACTAACATAGCTTTATAGACATTTTTCCCCCTTGCCATTCACCATAATTACATCTCCATATCATTTGCATATGTGCTGCAAATACATGAATAATTTAATAGTACAAATCTGCTTTTGCTCAAATGAATTTTTGTGTCCATAACATTTTCATTCATGTATATCTCCTCAAGTTTGAGAACTTGTAGTCCCCATTAAAATCTTAAAGTACTTATACCACCTGTCTTACATTTTCTGTCAATAAAACTTACCGTAACATTTTTTTCAGTGTCAGTATTGTTGATATGATATGATCGTGTTAATTAACAACCAATCATTTGATAACCCTTAATTTTCTTTTCTCCCTACAGGTCATGGGTTATAGGTGCAATAGCTCTTCTCTGCCTGTTAGGATTGACCTGGGCCTTCGGACTCATGTATATTAATGAAAGCACAGTCATCATGGCGTATCTCTTCACCATTTTCAATTCTCTACAGGGAATGTTTATATTCATTTTCCATTGTGTCCTACAAAAGAAGGTAAGCAAAAATTCTCTGTTCAAGAATAAATGGCATATATATCTCATGATAACAAAGGAACCATAACGTAAATAAATCATTCTTGATGTTTTGGCCTCTAAGAAATGAATATATTACTTTTATTAATTTTTTTTACAATAGTAAAGACAAAAGACACAAAATAAAAGCATAATAGTTGGTGAATGTATTTAACTGAAAAAAAATCAAAATATTTTCTGATTTGGACAGTGAATAGAAATATATTCTTTTAGGCTTGACCTTATAGTCTTTAATATTTTCATTGTCAAACACATGGAATTTGTGTATTAGAAATAGGTTTTCTAAGATGTTATGGAGCTGTGGGATGTATATATATATATATATATATATGCATATATATATGTGTATATATATATATAGTCTAAGAAATATATGTTTTTCTATTTTTCTTTAAAAACCAGTTTGCATACACTGGAAAATATAAATAACATTTTATGATAACATTTATGTTTCTTAAATGGATAATGAAGTACTATGTAATTGTTTCTGTACTTCTTTTCTTTAAAAGCATCCTTTATAAAATCTATGAGTTAGATGATTAGAAGGCAATATTTAATTTTTTATGCTGGTCTATTTTTGTGATTTTTCACATTTATAATGACTTAAAATATTCATTTTCAAAGTTAATTTTGGCCCCTAAATACTTTCATTGCATTTTTTAGAAATCTCAAGATTGATTTTCTAATCTTATACTTTTTAACTCTATTAAAAATATGGTCATTATAGTTCCAATCACATAGACCCTTGAGCCAAGACTGTCTGGGTCTAAATCCTAGTTTTTCTACTTAAAAGCTTATGTGTCTTTGGGCAAGTTAATTAACCTTCTCATGCCCCAGTTTCTTCATGTGTAACATGGAGGTAATAAAAATAATTATGAAATATTGAGAGGTGGCTCTGAAAATGAAATGTCAAAATGTGAAAATATTTTTTAAGGAAGAAATAACACCACCTAAAATTTTTTCTTTGGAAAATAACAACAGAAAAAATAAAAAGTAAAGATATCTATGTCTCTGAATTTTGGTTTGAGAGACTGATGGGACCGTAAATAAAACTTGAGAAGTGTGTCCGCTTGTCACCATGAGTCAGTTGTCTTCTGTTTCAGTTGTATGTGGTGGTAGGTATCAAACATGCGTTGACATGATCATAAATAATGCTAGAATAGTAATGATTACTCAGGCCTATAAATGTAGCTTGCAGAAAAGTAAACAGGTTATCAGAGAATAGATGGATTCTAATCTAATGGATTAGAGTTAATTGAGGTTATATTAGAATGGATTAATCCTCCCATATATTTAGTATACAACCCCTAAAATTGCAGTTGTTTAATCCACTAAATATTAATTTTTATACTTATGGCCCAATTGATGGTGCCTCCTCATGGAGGAACATAGGCTACTGAGGTCTCAACCAACCTTAATATATGATTTCCACAGTCATCTTGAATATTGACACCAAGCAGGCAGTCTGAGTAAGAGGTGTTCTTGTGTAAAAGGTCTGAAAGAGGCTTACATCACTAGCACTCACCTTCCATCAGATAAGATCCTATCAGTGGTACCACATAAACTGCAAGAAAGACTGGAAAACATAGTCTAGCTTTTTTAACTCAGGAAGGTGAAGAATTAGGTAATGTAAACAGCTCGCAGTTTAGCACACTTGAGTGTAAAGAGTAGGACATGTAAATGATGAGTAGGAATAGAGATGGAAAAAAGGAAGTGTCCAAGGAAAAGATGATGATATACTAAATTAAAGGTAGGAGAACATGTCTAGAAATAGACAGCAGCTAGCACTGTAAAACATTTCAGAGAAGTCAGAGACACTAAACACTTGGGAAAAATTTCTATATTTTGATAGAAGAACGTCATAACTGATTGTCACAAGAAATATATGTAAAAAGATGGGAGCAAAATCAGGAGGTTAAGAAAAAGGTAGCATTTGTCTGTGTAAGTAAGGGAATATTGAGCCTTAAGTCATCGTAAGCAGTTATAACATCTTCAAATGTACACATTATTTTTATATTATGTATTAGCTAGGAATTTGGGGTGATAAAATTAAAAATTTTATGTTATATAGAAATTTCCTTTAGAGCAGAAATTTTTTTATACTGTGTATATTAATTTTTATATTAGTATTTTTTATCAGTCAGTATCTCCTAGGGTTTTCCCAATAATTATTTTTATTTCTCTCATCTTATAAGTATACATACTGGTATAAGTAGGAATTGATATCCAGGAAGAGATAATGAACCTCAGAATCCAAAGTATAGAATTTTTAGTGTATTTAACAGATTTAACATAAGTGAAATTTGAAAAAATATATGTGATCAAACTCAAGTTTGTGATTCATTAGAACAGAGTTTAGGAAACAACAGCTCATGGGTCAAATCTACCCAGGTGCCTTTTAATGTTTACAGCCAGTTAGCCAAGAATGGTTTTTATATTTCTAAGTGGTTACATTTGAAATTTACAATAAGTACATAAACAGCATCTTTTGTTGCCTCTTGATAAACAAAGCCTGGATATTGACTATCTGGCCTTCATGAAAAAAAAAATTACCAACTCCTGAATTAGAAGGTTTCTATTATGATTTATTTTAACAAGTAATAAGCGTATTATTTCATTCATTTTATGTTTTGAATTTTCCAATTTTGATGACATTTTTATTGAGTATCAAGAACATGACCCAACATCAGAGAATATAGAAAACATGGAATTATCTACCTTCCTCCCTACAAAAACAAGAAACAAAACAAAACAAAAAATAGGTAATCTTGATTGCGATTGCAAAAATGTCTTAGGAGATTTTTCTTCTATTCCTTTATTTAAATTAACATATTAATGAGATATAAATATTATATAAGTTTAAGGCATACAGTATGTTAATTTGATGCACATATATTATGAAATGACTGCCACTATAGTATTATCTAATACTTCCATCAACTCACAGGATTACCATTTCTATATTGTGGTGAACATTTAGGATCTTTCAAGTATATAATATAAGTTTGTTAACTATAATTAATTATCATCCTGTACATTAGATCCCCAGAACTTACTCATCTGATAGCTGGAAGTTTGTACTCTGTAACCAGCATCTTCCCATTTCCTCCAGCCCAAACCTTGGGTAACCATCGTTCTACTCTGTTTCTATGAGTTAAGCTTTTTTGGTTCCACATATAAGTGATAGCATACAGTATTTGTCTTTCCTTGTCTGACTTATTTCACTTAACATAATGCCCTCAAGATCTATCCATGTTGTCACAAATGGCAGGATTTTCTTCTTTAGTGACTGAACAATATTCCATTGCATGTATGTACCACATATTCTTTATCTATTTACCCATTGATGGACACTTAGGTTGTAGCTATTGTGAATAATGCTACAATGAACATGGGAGTGTAGATGTCTCTTTGAGATCCTGATTCTATTTCCTGTGGATATATACCCAGAAGTGAGATTGCTGGATCATATTGTAGTTGTTTTTAATTTTATGAGGAAACTGTATATCGCTTCTGTTAATGGCTGTACCAATTTACATTCCCACCAACAGTGCACAGGGACTCTCTTCTGTCCACACCCTCACCAATACTTAACTATCTCTTGTCTTCTTTTCTTTTTCTTTTTTCTTCTCGATGAGAGCCATTATAACTGGTTGGAGGTGATATCTTATTCTGGTTTTGATTTGCGTTTCCTTGATCAGTGCTATAGAGCATCTTTTCATATTGGTCATTTGTATGTCTTCTTAAGAAAAATGTCTATTCATTTACTCTCTTCATTTTTTTAATATTTTTTTATTTATTGAGAGAAAGAGAGAGAGAGCAGGGGAGGGACAGAGAAAGAAGGAGAGTGAGAGAACCTCAAGCATGCACCGCACTGTCAGTGAGGTGACCAATGTTGAGCTCAATCCCTCCGTTAGAAGATGACCTGAGCCAAAATCAAGAGTCTAGGCTTAACTGTCTAAGCCATCCAAGTGCTCCTCTTCTGTTCATTTTTAATTGGATTGTTTGGTGTTTTGCCATTGCATGTCACAAGTTCTTAAATCTTATAATTTAGATATGAACCCCTTACAGAAATAGGATTTGCAAATATTTTCTTCATTTCTGTAGAGTGCCCTTTTGTGTTGTTGATCATTTCTTTTGCTATTTAGAAGCTTTTTAGTTTGATGTAGCCTCATTTATTTTTGCTTCTGTTGCTTATGCTTTTGATATCATGTCCAAGAAATCATTGCCAACACCAATGTCTAGGAACTTTTCTTTTATATATTCTTTTAGCAGTTTTATGGTTTAAGTCCTTAATTTACTTTAAGTGTTGTGAGTGGTTTAAGTTGGGCCCAATTTCATTCATCTGCATGTTTAGTTTTCCTTAAACTATATATTGGAGGGTTTGTCCTTTTTTCCACCAGTATTCTTGGCTTCATTGTAAAATATTAGTAGACAGTATATGCAAGCATTTATTTTAGGGCTCTCTAATTCTGTTCTCTTGGCTTATATCAACACCATACCGTATTGGTTACTGTAGCTTTGTAATATAGTTTGATGGCAAGGAGTGTGATGCCTCCAGTGGTATTCTTTCTTAGAATTACTGTGTGTGTGTGTGTGTGTGTGTGCGCGCGCGCGCGCGCGCGCGCGCAGACGCGCGCATTTGTTTCTATACAAATTTTAGGATGGTTGTATCTATGAAAATTCAAATTGGAATTTTGAGAGATTGCGTTGAGTCTATAGAGGTTTTTGGGTAGTATGGACATTTCAGCAATCTTAATTCTCTTAAGAAGTTTCTTTTAAGCCATTGATTGAATTCAGTAATATGACCATGCTGATGTAGTTGTCATGTTTTGATTAGAGAAATATGAAGTATTCCATTGTTGAGATATTTTGTCTTATAGGGTTATTTGTTGATTGATTCAACTCATTAACAAAATCAAACTTTGAGTTATCAGTCCTATTCTGACTGTGGATTGCATGGTATTACTGGTACCAGTAATACTGGTGACATTAAAGTTGTCACTTTTTCTTTTGTTATACACTCAATTATGTGATAAATCTCAGAGGGTATCATATTACATTATTTCTGATCTGAGAGTATAAAAAAATATACCATTGGTAACATAGTTTCTTTTCCATTTTCTTTATTCTAGAATAATATTAAAATAATAGATATCATATTGATTGGGATAAGAGGAGTATCATGTGAATTAGTGGATTAGAATATGGAAATGATTGAACAATCAAATATTTTTTATCTTAATCTAAAGGAAAATATGTCATAGACACATCCCATGTTATTTTGTTGTTTTTCTTTTTAAAACATATGCTTAGTGTTTCAAATCTAATAACAGAAGAATAAAGTCAAATCAGTAAAGATTCAGTAAGTAGTATACCTGAATATGGAACTTGGCATCACCAGATATCTTGATTTGCTGGTTATTTATATAATCAGTTCAGAATATATAATCTTTGTTGAAAAATGTAAATAGTCTGTGATGAATTCTGATGGCTTATACAATATTGCTCCCTTTGTCCGAGGAAGGGGAATGGTTCTGTATCTCTCTTTCTTTCTCTATTTCTCTCTCCTAAAATATTTGTGTAAATTTAAATCACTTCATTAAAATACACTTTCTTTTCTAAAAAAGAAAAATAGGCTTGTTGAGTATATTAGGAAAAATAAAATGGGATGTAGGTTATGATCAAAATTTAGGTTCTTGGGGATACTTTATGAATTCTGGACTAATATTAAACTATAATTGATAGTGCTTACCTTTGGGTGGAGATTATTTTAACTTTCTCAAATTCTAATTAAAGCATCTGTCCTTATTTTTTCTAGATACAGAGAAAGGGATAATTTAATATATTACTTTAATAAAAATGTTAACATTAATATTAGAAATTTGGCCTTTTAGAAAGAACTTTCTGATCGTAGAGCACCTATGAGAAGTGGATTTTTTCACATGAAGCATATATTGCTTAATCTTTTCAGTCTTTCAGTTTCTTTTCATTGCTTAACCTTTTTGGTGTTCTTATCTTCAGTGTAGGTAATAATTATTCCCCAGAGTCATTCTGAGGGAGGGACCTAGCACAATTCCTAGTAAATAGCAATTAAAAATCATAAGATTATTGGGGCACCTAGGTGGCTTGTCGGTTGAGCATCCAACTCTTGATTTCAGGTCATGTCATGATACTAGGGTCATGGGATCAAGCCCCATGTGGGATTCGGCACTGAGTGTGGAACCTTCTTAAGATTCTCTCTCTCTCTCTCTCTCTCTCTCTCTCTCTGTCTCTAATAAAATTTTATTTATTATTAAATATTTAAATAAAATATTTAAAAAATATTAGCAGCTTTTTCATTCCATACTCCCCAGGTCACTTGAATCTTGGATATACAGACAAGTGGGCAGACATTTCTTTTGAAAACTAACAAAACATGAATTGACTCTTATTTTAAACACTGAACAAAACTAATCATTTCTAATTATTCATAAATGTAGCATAGAAGAAATTGATTGGAAAACATATCAATATAATTTCGAGGATATTAAAGAATGTAATGTTGACATCCCAGGTCAGAGAGTGTCCTCAAAACTGCTCACACTGTTTGCAACACCTAGAATGCCCTTGTCTCTCTAGTCTGGCCTTTCTTTCAACCTGTGGTTCAGCCTGACAGATTCCAACTTATCTTTTGAAGGTTCTCTCAGAAGTTGTCTTCTCTGAGAAGCCTTCCTTGGGGCTCTGACCTACTGCCTGCAGACACTTCTCCTCTACGCTTTGATTCACTTGTCTCCATATTGTTGTTTCTGTCACAGATAAGCATTTAATAATGGTGGATTCTTTGAACAAATCCAAATCTATTCTATCTCTGATAATGCTATATCTTTCATAGAATGAGCTTTCCAATATTAAGATGTAATATTTCAGTTTTGAATGCTAATATTAATGTATGATTCACACTCTTTTACCTTTGCTTCTAAATAATAATGTCCCTCAGAAAAGCATATATTTATAACTTTGCTTTAAATAATGTTACACTGGAATCTGACATTGTCATAAATTATGGAAAGGATGAAGTCATGTGAGTTCAACAGATAAAGAGCTAAGAATAACTACATACACAGCATTATTTCATAATGAATATAAATGTGCCAGAATGTGCTTTTAGTTGATGAACACATTGTTGGGGAGTATTTTTTTGTCGTAGATAGTGGAAAGATGATTTAGGGCAGTTACTGTTTTATTTTTGTATGTCTTGTTTGATTAAATAGCAGTAATAAAAATTTTAAACATGATAAAAGTTTTTCCAGAAATTGTTGATAGGCTTTCCTGCTTGAAAACATTAACAAAAAAATGTTTACTTCCTTTTTTTACCTATGATTTTATACCACAAGGGAGATTAAGAATTTAATAAATCTGTGATTATTGAGTAGAACTATTATGAAAGAATAAACTTAAAATATTTTGACTTTATATTCTAAAGTTATAAATTTGACCTCTTTTAAGAGAAATAAGCTTCAAAGAAACAAAGGAATTCATAGCCCAACACATTCCTTTCTCCTGTGTTTAGACATTCCTTTACTCTTCTCTCTCCTTCTCTCTCTCCGTCTTCCTCACTTTCTCCATCCCCTCTTCTCTCTGCAACTTTCTCATTCAGTTTCTGTTTAAAGATCAGTTGCACCAATAGGCTACTTCAAATCAAATTTATGAAGCTCAAAATAGAGTTGTAAAAAGTCTTAAGCTTTTATTCTTCGAACTAACAGGTAGTATCATCATAGCAGGATTGAGCATGTGTGTGTGCGTGTGTAAATGTTTTAAAAGGCTCCAGTTGTGCAAAATTTCAAGGTTGATGACTTGCATATCATTTTGTGTTGTAAAATATATGCTGAACAGAGTTTCTTGTATCTGAAGGGCAAGGAAATAATTATATTAATTATCTAAAAATAAAACATACATTTTATACCACAGTTCCCAGCTGAAATGAATTACTTGCTAACAGAACTTTAATGTTTAATTGTCTAGGTCCGAAAAGAGTATGGGAAATGCCTGCGGACACATTGTTGTAGTGGCAAAAGTACAGAGAGTTCAATTGGCTCAGGGAAAACATCTGGTTCTCGAACTCCTGGACGCTACTCCACAGGCTCACAGGTAAATAGTATTTGTTAATTAAAACGAACCATCTCTTACCTATATTCTGTTATCTGTTGCTGTCCTTGATCAAAACTATTTTCTATCCCAAGTGCTTAACACATCAAATTTGTTGTTGCTGTTGCTGTTGTTGTCTTAGTGTCTCAAATAAGCACATTTATTACAAAACATTAAGAAGCCGTGTTGCAACAAAATTATGAAACATAGGGTCTCAGTTTGCATAAGAATTAATGATTTCAGATTGTTCCTAGTTGAATGAATATAGATGGTGAGGAAAGGAATTTGGCACTTTCCCCAAAATTCCAAGAAAATGATATTTTATATATATGATTCTTAAGTGAATTACCTTTTTTTAACCAGGATAGTAATTCTCAATCACATACTGAAAATACATACTTATTAACTGCTATGTTTAGTAAAAACAGCCCTAATTCATATTATATTATATGGTGGTAAGTTGAAGACAGTTGAGGGCAGTGAAGGATACAACAACTGCATCATTGGCTTAACTGCTCTACCCATTTCTCCCGGCCCTCAGGCACTCCACGCGGCAGCTGCTTTGACTGTCCCCTGGGAAGCAGTCAACTTTTAAGTAACCTGTCCGCCATTTTTCCCATGCCACAGTGTGAGTCCAAAGATTATTAGATAGACTTTCAGCAATTCCAGGATGCTAAAATGAGTCAATCAAATAAAAGACAGGATTGGGGTGCTTTCCTGGCTCAGTCAATAAAGCATGCAACTCTTGATCACAGGATCATGAGTTCAAGTCAAACCTAACCGACTATTAATACTTAAATTAATAACCATAAATCACAATGAGCGTGAAACTTATCCCTACATATAATACACAATTATTAATTGTTTGAATTTTATTGTTTACTTCTCTACCTGACTGAGGTTACAAAGTTGCAAATTAGGGGGGAACAGATGTACCAATTTAGGTGGGCTGAAATTTCTGAGTGTAGGATTACTAAATAAATCAGCCAATTAGAAATCTGAAGTCTCTGGGCACTTGGGTGGCTCAGTCGGTTAAGTATCTGACTCTATTTCGGCTCAGGTCATGACCTCATGGTTTGTGAGATCAAGCCCCGCATTGGGTTCCATCCTTGCTGTCAGTGCTGAGCCTGCTTGGGATTCTCTTGTTTCTTCTCTCTCTCTGCCCCTCCCCCACTCACGTCCTCTCTGTCTCTATCAAAATAAATAAATAAACATTTAAAAATTTGAAGTCTACATAATTTTGGGCATACACCTGGATGATGCTTCTAGCATGAGGCTCTTATATTCCACACCCTTTACTTTCACACCTATAATCCTTCCTCTCTTTTTGTAATAATCTTTTCCACAACCTTGAAATTGAAATTGCTTAGATCCTGTATGCTGTCTACCTTGATTAGTTCCTACATGCTTTTCATATAACTGAGCTCATTAGCTACCATCTTGTAGTCATTTGACAAATGTCACTAATGAACCAATACTATTTGGAAGTTTCAGTATTATGTTACAACAGAGTTGTGTAATGTTTAGCAATATATCTAAGGTAAAAGATAGAGCAATGCAGGTTAATAGAATAATTGTAAATTTGCTGTGTGGTAGCTGTTGGTTTGAATTCTAGCTTTAGCATGTATCATCCAAAACACAAAACAAGTTACTTGATATCATTGATCCTCAGTTTTTTCATCTGTAAAGTGGTGCTAGTAATACTTGTTTCTTATATTAGGAAGATTGAGATAATGTATTCAAAATATTTAAAATAAATTATAAGTACTCAACTAATTGGTGCAGCTGTCACTTATTAGTTCATTATTACAGACTATAATGTCAGATATATATTTTAAAGCTGTATCATATTTTTTCTTCAGTTTTATGTTTCTGATATCACAATTCTAGTCCTCCAAAAAAAAAAAAAACCCTTACATTGCTACCTTGTGCTTACTATAATACTAATTCTGATTAACTGACAATCCAATCCTACATAAAGTAATAGTTACTTAAATCCAGTCTGTTCAAGTAAAAATAATAAATGTATTTCATATGAACTATGACACTCTAGAGTCTAAAATACTCATTGATACTTAGGTAGAATCTTGGGACTATGGATGCCTTATCCACATCAGAGAACTTATAAAATAGCAAACTATATATATATATATATATATATATATATTTGAGGGGGGTAAGAAATATTGAATGACCTCTATTTAATGGCAGACAGCCTTTAAATGGAGGTACAGTGGTTAAAAGACAAATAACTTCCCCTGTGATCTAGAGCTTTCATTCTAATTGTGGAAGATAGAAAACTTATTAACAAATAAACTGACAGAAGATAACGAGATTATAAAAGTTGGTAGAGAGCCAAATATAGTGATTTGATACAGAAATTCCAGGGGGCTATTTGGATTAAGTGCTGGAGAAAGACTATTTTGGAAGATGATGTTGACACCAAGATTCTGAATGATCGGAAGGAAATTCAGGGAAAAGAATTCCAGATGAGAGAACATCTAATGCAAACCCTAAAAGACAGGGAAGACTAGCAAACTCAGGAATGGAAAGAATATCATTGACTAAATTAGGTGAAAGTGAATAGGAAATGAAGTCAAAAGAGAAGGCTAGAGATTAATCAGTAATGTTTTGTAAGAGCATGCAAATTTAGGTTTTATTTCATTTACTTGTGAAAGCCAATGAGATGATTTAGAAAAGGAAGTGGCAGGAGACCATCCACATATAATAAAGATCATGTGGCTTCCATGTAGATGATGCAGGGGAACTATTGGCAAGACTAAAAAGTGAAAACCCTTTCCACCTGTTGCTCCCCTATACCTACCTGGTGCTAATAAACACTTCTAAAAGCTTGGTAATACCCATAATCACACAAACAGATATTCACAGCTGTATGTATAGGATTGGTTTGTGTTTATATGTGTTTATAAAAACTGTGGACGAAAGTATTGTCCTTATTTGACTTTTCTTTAATCTGTCATTTGTTTTCTATTTGCTTCATTGACTTTGTGTTGTATTTACATTTATCATATGATATTTGAAACATAAGCCATATATGTAACATCTATTAATTATGAAGCATAGTAATAAAATGAGTATCTGTGAAGTGAACATCCAGTTGAGCAATTGAACATTTTCCATATATTTTGCCTTCTTGAAACCTCTCTGTAATTAATTCCTGTGCCTCCAACCAGAATATGTCATTTCCTTGACTTATTCTAATAGTTTCTCCACCTCCAAAAAAAGGTGTTTAGTATTACTTTTTAAAATCTTTTTTTAAGGTGATATATCATTATATGTAGTCTGTGATTTGCTCTTTTCACCACACATCATCCTGGATCATTCCATGAACATTTAAGTGTTGGCTCTGTGCTATATAATGTATACTTTTCTTCCACCTGCAATATTTCACCTTTTCTCCTTTTCTTCCTAGATCAGGAGCCAGTTGAGTAGATTCAATGTTGATTTTGTCATTTATTAGGCCTGTGACATTGGACATGCTAATTAACTTCTGAACCTCAATTTTCTAATGACTAAGAGTACTTGCCACAAGGCGCTCTTGTGTGATTTCATTGAGTGAATAAATGAAAAATACATGGTATATAACCTAGAATTCTAGGTTCTAATTCCATAGAATTAATTAAAATATTTAAAGATTTTACATATAAATATGTATTTTACATATAAATACATATTTTACATACACACACATATAATATTTATCCTGTACCACATGATATTTCAGGGTGTGATACATCAATAAACAAAAAAGACCAAATATCTGTTTTTTGAGAGCACCAGATCTTATGCAGACATTAGACATAAAATATTGGACATTATATCTAAATATAAGAAATAAATACATTATAATTATAGGTCACGTTGTATGAAATGATAATGACTATTGGGGGGAAAATAGCAGGGTTAGGTGGGTGGAATACAGTTCTAAAAAGGATGATCAAGTTATGTCTCTTCAAGGAGAAAATATTTGAGGAAAAATTTAAAGAGATGAAGGAGTTATCCATACGTGTATCTGGAGGAAAAACACTTCAGGCTGAGGAGGCAGTTGTACTAAGCCTGAGGCAGAAGCATGCTTAGCTTGTTAAGGAAGGCAAGAAACCAGTGTGGCCAGCCCAGGTTGGGGAGACTAACAGAAGCCGAGGTAATGGGAGAAGCTCATACAAATGTCACCTAACAACAATCATCATTTCATCAAATCTGTTAAGATGTCACTTCTTCAGTGCAATGCTCACAGACTTCCTAGCCAAGGATATATCCCTTCATGTGCACTTAAACATTTTGTTTAATTGTGGAGTATATCAAACATTAACAAAAGTACACAAAATATAAGTTTATGCACAGTGATTTGTTACCTCTCTCTGGGTTATATATTAGAATGTTGGGAGTGCTTTGGAAACCCTTTGGACCTTTCACCATCATTTACCTCCAACATAACCACCATCTTAATTTTTCACATATTTTGTTTTTCATGCGTGAGATACTTATTCACAGGACATCATCCAGCACATATTATCTTCTATTTTCTTCCTTTCCTCAGACATCTATGTTGCTACAGGACGCTAGGTTGCTTTTCTGTTTTTCTTGTTGTATATTGTACTATACATCTGTTCTACCACTGACAGTCATCTGAGTTTGTCATTTTCAGCTATAATAATTAATAGTTCTATGGAGATTTGTGGGCACATTGCATACTTTGGCATTTATTTTTGTGGTAACTTGTTGTGTCTTTCATTTACTAATCTAGTAGCTCCACAAAGATAAAGATATTTTTTTGTTTGCCTTTCCCCTTTATATTTTGTGGGGTAGGATTTGGTATGCAGTAATTAATTAATTTTAATTAATTAAATAACCAATAGAAACAAATGTGAGAGAATTGTTCCCAGTATTTCAGTTTGAAGTTTTAAAGTATTATTCAATAGAAAGTGTTCAAGTGCTCAGGATATATGATCCTGCACCAGTTTTCTCTTTTTTTTCTTTCTTTCTTTCTCTCTTTTCTTTTCTTTTTTTTTTCTTTTCTTTCCTCTTGTCTTTCTTTCTTTCTTTTGAAGTAGTCTCCACACCTAAAGTGGGGCTTGAACTTATGACCTTGAGATCAAGAGTCACATGCTCTACTCACTAAGCCAGTCAAACAACCCTCTTGTTCTTTTATTTTTTTTTTTGGAAGTGTGTGTATGTGTGTGTGGTGTCTATGTGTGTTTGTGTGTGCTTGCTGACCTATAAAGCAATATACACAATATAGACATATCCCAAGATGTATTATCCCAATTGTCTAATCTTTTAAGGTTAGGTACTCCTCTTATCCAAGGAGTTCAAATATATTTGGAACATAACCCATTTTGAGCTTGGCTTTGCCACTACCATTACTAGGAGAATAGTCCTTATAACTATTTCATTCTTGGAAAAACTGAAAATATTTTGTTTCCTCCTCACAAGACTGTTAATACTTTTTTGAACCCTAACTCCTAATTAACTAGAAAAAAATCCCCTTCTTAATAATGGAAAAATATTATACTGCTTCAGTTACCTAGCACTTAGAAAACTGAATTTGAGAATAAAAATAATGATGTAAGAATTTTCAGTTCTCTATAAATTACCTACTGGGAAGAAATGAATAGGGTAAACTGACTTCCTTTATCTACTTTGATAGAAAGAAAAGTCAAAATCATATGTAACCTGTAAAATTACACTATTACAAAATTCATGAAAAATGTTGAGTTTAGTAGCCTTTTAATAAGCCTCTGTTCTTTCTTACCAAACTCTTTCTTGCAAGTTTCTGAATTCTTGAACTAAATCTTTTGTTAATAAAACTGACAATTTAATACATATTTAAATATACCATTCCCATAAAAGTTGCAATGAAAATAATTTGTTTCACTTTGGAAAGTAAAATTATTAAAATTCTAACTGTCTAGAGTACACTTCCATATATCTTCAACATGTTTAAATTGGTATACTCCATTACACTTATTGCTTTTTCATAGTTACAATTATTTTTGGTATAAGCATTTAGGAATACACATAATGAGAACCAATTATTATCATTAATTTAGTTTCTGATGTTCTTATGCTACTGTACTGCAAGCATGTACAAGTTATGTATTAGCCAGATGCCAGAAATAAAGGTCTCATATAACTGTGACAGAAAGAGAAAAGAATGATTTGTGTGAAAATTCACTGCCTGGTGAGTTCATTTCCTTTTTTGCCTTTACCCCATCCAGAGCCGAATTCGTAGAATGTGGAATGATACAGTCCGAAAGCAGTCAGAGTCTTCCTTCATTACTGGAGATATAAACAGTTCAGCGTCACTCAACAGAGGTAATTAGAAATGATTTTTCCTATTTATTACTTTTGTGATTACTTTAAGAAGTTCTTAAATGTATTGCTTTTTAAATTCATTTTATTTTTATTTTTATTTATTTTTTTGCAACTTCTGGACCTTGTTCTATGTGATAGGAATATTGCAATAAAACCTGGCTGAGTGTAGCAGGGTGTTCCATTATTCATAAGCCTTTTTTTTTTTTTCAATCCTGAGTTTTCAGGAAATCTCTTCTGAAAGGAAGTTAGAAAATGAGAACTTTCCTTTTCTAGTCATCTGCCACTTTAATAAACTGGTGAGCTGTCAGGCCTCATTGGAAGCAGTGAAAATGGGCAATTATGTGGCTATATAGTCTGCTAAGCATCATAGAGTTCCAGATTGTCTCAGGCATAGAGCAATTTCATAGTCTTTGTGGAAGTAAAAATACACTGTCTAATACATACTTGAGACAACCTGTATATGTGGGGTAAAAATTGCCTCTAATCTTAGTATCTACAAACTCATCCAGCATATTTAAAGATCTAGGAGAAAAAATATATATATATGTTATGATTTGTGTGTGTGTGTGTGTGTGTGTGTGTATGTGTGTGTGCGCACGCTCCTGGTTATCATGTGCCTAGGGCTTCATTTAGACTTGTAAAATGAGGTTTCCTTAATCTACTATTTTGTTTGTGGTTGATTTTTTAAATTCTTCTTTGTCTCTCTGTCTCCCTCTCTTTCCCTCCTTCCCTCCCTCATATTCGGTGTATGTGTGTGTTGTGGGAGGCATGATTAGAATTAAATGGACTCCAGTCTAAATGAGTAGATACTACGTTTGTGTAGAGCTAGAGGACACTACAGACGTTGCTGGGGAATACTCATGGTATAGTTTTATCTGGAAAGGTGGCATTGTATGAGTCTATTCCAGTCTCAGTGTCCTAACAAAGATATTTTTGATACATGTATTGAGTGTATATTAAGGATACGTATATTGAGTACAACATTGGTTTTTTCCTTATCCCCAAACTAGGATTATTAGTTGTTTTAAACCTGTTTCTGTTAGCTTTTTGTTACATTAAATGCTACTTAGAAACAAATAATTAACAATCATGGCTTATGATTCAGAAAAATTTAGATCTTGGTGCTCTTAATTACTTTTACTCAATTAATTTGCATCTTATTTACATAAAAGAAGCTAGGACAAATAGTGTCCACGTTGAACTTGATACAGGGACCCATGTTATATGTCATTTTAATATGTTATTTGGGACAATGATATCACAACCATAACCTAATATTGATACTAAATTTTCTATATCACTTCTGCCTGAGTAGGAAGATGAGTGCAATTATTCCTCCAAATATGAAGAAAGTACATTAAAACAATTACTTTCTGTATTTTGTTCCCTTATTAGTCCATATTTTTTTGGTAGATTTCTATTTACATAATACCATCTAAATATTCTTCTCTTTTTCAACTTTAGTTTTAATGGTTAGTTTGTGAAAATTTATTTAAATGTGAATAGTCTAACTTATGACATACTCTCTAAATCATAAAATACAAATTACTTACAAATGCCTTCAAAGTTTAGGAACTAATTTGCTTTCATAGTGACAGATTTTGTTTATTGTCTAATCCCACAGATGGAAAATTTACAGTATGTTCCTAGAAAGAAAGATACCCTTATGAATAGGAATTATTTTTAGAAGTTTTTGCATCTAATAGATCAATTGTTGTTTAAACAAAAGATGAGGTCATATATTTTAATGATGTACTGTTCATTTGTCCATTGTGAAGATGGTTAAGGTATGCAAAATATTATGTTTTCTAGCATTATGATCTAAAATTATGTAAGGACTGTAAGGTATGTGACTTTACTAAAAACTGAATGGACATGTTTTCGTGACCTTGATTTTAAGGTCAATTCACATAAAACATTCTGTACCCTTTTTAGTTCCTTCTCAAGAATTTCATCAACTTGGAATATGTAATATGTGGATGACTGGGTCAATTTGAAGTATATTTAAAGGAAATAATAATATTTTGTATTGACTGATCATATATTTAAATCTAGTTTTAGAATCTTTAGTTTACAAGTATTTCTTTAAGGTATCCTTGAAGAATAGTATAAAATTTCTTGTAACACTCAATAAGTTACCCTAATGTTGGCATCAGAGAGGTTTTACATTGAATTTATGATTTGAGGTGTGTCCAGCCAGTGATCTTTTCCTTCAGGATATATTTTCTTCCTTTTACTCAGTGACTTTAATGGTATTAGACATCAGAGTGATCTTCTAGGTTTCCCATATTAATTCCCCAGTCCCCCAAGTCAGAAATTCCAGTTTATTCTCATCTCATTATTTTTTATCTTAGATGCCTGGAGTACTTTAAAATTTAATTTCTTCATATTATATCTCTGAAGATCGTCTTTAACACCCTTCTTTAATCTCGTCTTATTTCCCAGGGTCCTATCTGCCCTGCATTCAGGCGTGTGTATCATATGTAGGTAGGTGGAATCCAAGATTCACCTTTCCAGATAAAATACTTCAGTCACCTCAGCAACATAATTATTCACCTTTATTTAATCAAAGATTATATTCTTTATTATTAAAAGAAAAATTCTAGGCACTGCATCTTTGCATCTTCATATGTTCTAACTTCCCATTCATTCTTAGTTTCTTACCAGCTGCCAAATTTTTGTTAATTTAAACCCCATTTTTCTTTCTATCCAAGTTAGTTTTATTAAATTTCTTATTTTTGTCTTTAGAACAGTTCTGGCCCTTGAAAACTACAAGAAGTTGTCTAAAACTTAGTCCTATGCTTACTTTAGGTTTTCTTTCCTACTCATACCACTGCTCAATTCATCAAAAGAATAATTATTTTACAATTCTGTATGTCTTACCATGTATTCTTCCAAAGAGGAATTCATCATTATCATCTTTGGGATCCATTAAGAATAAAACATCGACCATACAGTACAGAACTCTTTTCTCAATGGTTTTTATGTTTTCAAACCATCTTTAATATTCTGTTCTTGAATCAACTTGCTGTATCCTATGTATCAGATTACCTGCCTAGATTTCCCAATGTGATCAACTTGATTACTGTTGTGATTTTATTCCTTAGAATCATGCAAAACCTTGGAAGATTTATTGATGATTTTCAGTTCATGTAATCATTCTTATATATTCTCTTTGGGATTTTGTTATTTGGTCACCTCATCTCTTTAAAACCTTCCATTACATTTGTCCTTTGAATATGCATATTCATGAAAAGGTTTTGCAAAGGTTCCCTATTCATTTTAAGATATATTTTCCCCTTCTGATTTGTTTGCTACAATACTACTCACTCATATAAATTAGGAATTCCTTGAGGCCAGTACCTGAGGCCAACTATCAAGTTAACTTTCTCCATGCCACTGCAGACACAGTTCTAAGGAGGTTTTCAAGAGCATTAATGTGATAGTTGATTATAAAAAGTTTTAAAGAAGGTTAACTCTGATCCAAATTCAAGTTTTTAAAAATGCCACAAGAGGGTTTATTTATTTGTTCATATCTTGAAGTCAGGCCTCAATTCTCCAGTTTCCCCAGGTGTATTAGAAATCTCCCCCAACTTTCCAGTAGCTCCAACTTCCCTGTAGTGGTAGAAACAGTTTGTAGCTAGAGTAATCTTTTCTACTCATATCTCCTACCCAGAATCTTTGCTGGCCAAACATTGCCCTGAACAAGTTAGATTAACAACAAGTGCCTCTGAAACTGACAAATTGCTCTGATAGTTCAGTTAATGGTTAAATATTTCCTCTCTTTTTATAGATCTATATAGAAATTGGGATATTTTCTGAAATTAGATTTTATTAGGCTTTATCTCATTGTGAATAATATAATTGCATTTCCCATTTTCTTTTTATTTAATTAGTTGAATTGGCCTCAGAAATTTCAGCTTAAAATCCAGGTTTGCTAGGTAGCTGCTACTAATATGATGTTGTATGAATTATGACAAGTGCCCCATTCTCCCCACCTTAGCTGTGGAGTTATTAGAAAAATGTAACCCCTCTTGGTGGCAGTGTTAGCAAAAAGACATTTCTTCTTTTGAAATAATAGCTTGACTAGCAATAGTGGGGTTTTATTTTCCCCTGCCTCCCACCCTCCATCTCATCAACCTCCCACAGAAGCTAATGCAATTTAGATTTTTATAAATGGAGATCTGACTGGTAAAGCTAGATTTATTTAAGCCAAATCTATGTGTTGTATGACTGCAAACTCTTTTGTAGATGTCCAGCACTTCTTTATTAATGTTAATGGATTATCTGTTCAAAGTTCAGATTCAAAATAACCTACGCATGCATTCTCAGTAAATTTATGTAATCAGTACAATTACGACAGCCTATGACAATCTTTTCATAAATTTTAGTGGTAAATCTTGGTTCTCAGTGGTACAACTACCTACTAAAAGGTTTCACCTGTTAGGGACATCGTTGATACAAAGAAGAAAGGCATCTTCAAATACACATTTGCAAATTGTTGACTTACTCATTGTAGTTTTGCATACTAGTTTTGAGAATGAAGTTTCAATCTAGAGACTTTTTGTAAATGGCTATTTTCTCAATGTCTGTGCAATAGGGATATAAACAGCACCCTCTTCACAGGGACCTTGAAAGTACTAAGTGAGTTTACATATGTTAATTCCTTACTACAGTGCCTGGAACATAAATACTAATTATTATTTCATTTAGAAGTTCACTTATATCATCTAATAAATGAAAACTGACTCTTGTCAGTTCTCTGAGATAATTCTATATTAAAATTCATCATTCACCACTAAAGGTTTTCTATCCTTTTTTTACTAGGTGATGGGAATAAAATGGTTACCTGAATCCCAAGTAAAAGAAATAGTAATTTATCTAAAATGAGGCTACCCTTGAGGCTAACAAAAAGAGATAAACTAATAAAACTGAATTGTCTTTTCTAAATTGGAAATTAAATGCACATTACATCTGCCTAGTTATGCTTTCCACTTTTG